ATAGACACTGAGAACTGGGAAGCCCTGGCCCTTGAGCGCTCCAGCTGGAGGTCAGCTGTGACCAGCAGTGCTGCAGAATTTGAAGAGGCACAAATGGAGGGTGAAAGAGAGAAACTCACCAGGAGGAAGGCGCATCAAGCCAACCCCAACCGAGACCGCCTTCCACCTGGAAACCAATGCCCTCACTGTGGGAGAAGATGCAGGTCAAGAATAGGGCTCCACAGCCACCTACGGATCCACAAGAATACTGATCATGGAAGACTATCCTCTTACTCGTCCAACGAGGGATCGCCTAAGTAAGTAAGTAAGTAAGTAAGTAACATACCGCCAGTACACCGATCTTGGAAGACTATCCTGCTCGGACAACGAGGGATCGCCTAAGTAAGTTTGGTGAGACAGCAGCATTCTTCGATAGGCAGGGCTAAACTTAGGAAACTGCAACTCCCAGGATTCCATAGCACTGTGCCATGGCAGTTAAAGTGGTGTCAAACTGCATTCATTCTACAGTGTGGATTCCGCCTTAGTAAAGGAAATGCATGTCAATAATTACATCTTCAAGCTAGAGGCAACAATTGTCATTGTGCTGGTGCCTTACCAAACTACAACTCCCATGACTCTATAGCACTGAGCCTTGGCAGCTAAAATGCTATCAAACTGCATTTATTCTACACTAGCTGTCTCCTGCCATGCGTTGCTGTGGCCCAGTCTGTGTATATGTGTATTGTGTGTGTATACTGTACATGTGTTTATGTAAAGCCAACCTTAAAATCTCTGGCATAGACAATGAGAACTGGGAAGCCCTGGCCCTTAAACGCTCCAGCTGGAGGTCAGCTGTGACCAGCAGTGCTGCGGAATTTGAGAAGGCACGAGTGGAGGGTGAAAGAGAGAAACGTGCCAGGAGGAAGGCGCGTCAAGCCAACCCTGACCGGGACCGCCTTCCACCTGGAAACCAATGCCTTCACTGTGGGAGAAGATGCGGGTCAAGAATAGGGCTCCACAGCCACCTACGAATCCACAAGGAAACCCATCATGGAAGACCATCTTACTCGTCCAACGAGGGATCGCCTAAGTAAGTAAGTAAGTGTCTAATATAGTGTGTATATATGTATGTTTGTGTGTGTGTGTATATATATATATATGGGTGTATATACACGTTTGTCTCTGAAGGAGCTGGCGGAAGTGACGGCCGACAGGAAGCTCTGGTGTGGGCTGGTCCATGAGGTCACAAAGAGTCGGAAACAACTGAATGAATGAACAACAACATACACGTGTTTGTATATATGTGTGTGTATATATTTGTGTGTTTATATGTGTACATGCATATTGTGTATATGTGTGGCTCGTCTATATCCATATTTGTGTGTATATGTGAGTGTATGTATATGTATGTGTGTATATTTGTGTTTGTGCATGTATATACGTGTGTGTGTTTGAATGTGTGCATGTGTATATGTATTTGAGTGTATGTGTATATGTATATATGATGTATTTTTTGGGTTTTTAAGTCTGTTCTGCTGGGGTTTTGTGTTTATGTGTGTTTAGGGGTGATGGACACTCGTTGGACTGTTAGGTCTATTGTGTCCAAATTTTGTGTCAATTTGTCCAGTGGTTTTTGAGTTATGTTAATCCCACAAATGAACATTACATTTTATTTATATATATTGTAGATGCACCCATAGTCAAAGTACTGAAGTGTTTATTCATATTACGCTTTTTCAACATCAGAATAATTTTGTTTAATGCTAGCGTTCCTCATACTCTTGCTTGATCCCTGTTGAATTTGTGTCCTGGAAACAATTGCAGTGTTTAGCAACAATTTTAACAAATACAAACAATGTAGAAACACAAGGCAAGTGCAGATATGTTTCCATTTGGATAATTCTATGTTAATTTAAAATGCCTTGGAGATTGGGAATGCGAAAATTTAGCTGTGATAGGAACTCTCAGGAAATACTTCGGAAATAAGTCATTGTCTTGTGGATCTCCAACATAAAATGGGAGAACTGATATTAAACCTGGGGGTTCCAGGATACAGTAAAAGTAAAGGTTCCCCCTTGACATTAAGTCCAGTCATGACCGACTCTGGTGCTCATCTCCATTTCTAAGCTGAAGAGCCGGCATTGTCCGTAGACACCTCCAAGGTCATGTGGCCAGCATGACTGCATGGAGCTCCATTACCTTCCAGCTGGAGCGGTACCTATTGATCTACTCTCATTTGCATGTTTTCGAACTTCTAGGTTGGCAGAAGCTGGAACTAACAGCAGAAGCTCACACCGCTCCCCAAATTTGATCCTGTAATCTTTCAATCAACATTAGGAAGAACTTTCTAACTGTGGGAACCATTCAACAGTGGAATTCTCTGCCTCAGAGTATGGTAGAAGCTCCTTCCTTGGAGGCTTTTAAACAGAGGCTGGATGGACATCTGTCAGGGATACTTTGATTGTGCTTTTCCTGTATGGCAGAGGGTTGGTCTGGATGGCCCATGTGGTCTCTTCCAACTCTATTATTATATTCTATGAAATTTGTTTTGTACCTGCTGTGCCTTTAGAGATAATAACAGTAATACATTATAATAATACTTTTATTACCCACCTCTCCCTGTTGTCTCAAATAACCAATTGTTATAACAATGAGTTGTTTTGACAGATAACAAAACCGAACTGGGACTTGTATCTTTAATTGCTGCACAGATAAGAGAGTTTCAGATGAAGGGATTTCTGCATCTGGAGTGCTCTATTTTCTAAGGCTAACTGTTGTGTCCCTTTGATAGGAGGGACTATAAAAACATCTCCTTTTCATGGAAGCTTCAGACAATAATTGGGGGGGGGGGGCATCAGAAATTCACAACATGACACAGTT